CATCAAATGTTATAATCCGTTAGACTACACCGTTTCTCATCAAATCCCTTGAATCAGAAATTTGTTTATTACAATTTTAAATTTTAAGTGTGTATAATTGTTGACTTTTCATATTTTAAGCATTAATTAAATGAAATTAATCCAGCAAATTTCTCACATATACTGTATCACAAAATTTTAAATGATATATTTTTTAACATCCTTGTGATAAACTTTCCTTTTTTTTTAATTACTAGTGCTAATTATATATTTATTGTATACATTTTTTATTTTTAAATTGGCATATATTTTTAACTAAATTTTATGATATATCAATTTGTCGAAAGTTCATCGCTGCAGTAAGATGTATCTGAAGTTAAACCTATAGATTTGGCTCGAAGAAAAATGTCAAATCCCGATTGATGTCCATTATTTCAACTAAAAAAGCACTTCGTACTGCTGTGTACATTTTTTTCCGAAACTTTGTTAAACTTTAACAGATCTTGATCAAAATCAAAACTTTTATGAATCTTAATTGATGAACTTTAATAAATTCTAATTACAATAGAAACTTTCATGAATCCTAATTACAATTTAGATCGTTACTTTTAATTCAAGTATCAAATTTGTCAGAAGAAAACATCAGTTAGGTTTAAGATTAATTTGGTAAATTCATACATCATTTCTTATAGAAGTTCATTAATACATATATTCAGAAATCTAATTTTCCAACAATCATTAGATGTAATACATTGAACAATCCAAGAAACAATTACGGTAATATCGGAAAGTTATGCGGAATTTTTATTAGTCAAAGAATGAACTAAATTTTGCGTACATTTAAAAATTCAGCGACATATTAATATATTCGGAAATAATGATGAAAAGCGCTAAGATGTAATTTAATGTTGCAAACAAAATTTTTGTGCAATAATTGTCAACTGAAATATAATCAATCTAAAAATTAGATAAGATCAAATTAATGAAATTAAAATTTTAAATTGACTACTGAAATTTCCCTATGAAGTAATGTTTTTCACAATGGTTCAGCAAAAAAAAAATTTATGCAACAATAAGTGTATTCATTTATAAATTTTAAAAATATAATTAAGAAAATATTATATGATAAGAATTCAAATGCTACATACAATTTATAAATTCCAAAATTTAATGAATACAATCACGTGTTTCACCTTTGAACTTACCAGAAAGTTCAAGATTTCCCGCATTATAAAATCGGCTTGGTGTTTTCCCAGTACTTATATAACCATCAGGTATCATTATGCTAATTTTACGTTGACAAGGCTGAAACAAAATGAACGTAAGTGGTTGAATTATTTAACATATCAATTTTATGGATTACAAAAAAAATTAGACAAAAATTACTCAAATGTAGTGTCATAATTTTATAAATTCAATAATAATTCAATTTGTTTGTTTGGTATAGTAATATAATTTGATACATAATAAATTCAAAATGTATGATAATTTAATTTTACAATCTGATTCACAAATTTGTTAATGGATAAAAAACAAATAATCGTTAATAAATTACAAATTGTATGAGAGAAATTTTTGTCGCGAATTCCGATTCGCGAGGCTCCAACCATACAAATATATAATCAAATAAA